TAAATATGTTTTCGTCAAGATCAGTGCATGTCAATCGTCGCTATACGAGAGATAATTTTATAAAATAAAATTCAATCCGCGCTACTAAATTATTATAAAATGAAGAATATATACTCGTGTTTTGGTATAACATGTAATGTTATCTTTTCATCGCGGTTTCTTGTCGGATTTTCTTGAATGATTTCTTGATCTAGATATTTTATGTACAGTGTGTCAGAAATATTTACTTAATACACATTAAATTTTTAAAACATTTACACAAAATCAATGTTTTCAAAGTAAAAATATTAGTGAAGAATGAGTCGGAGATTGAATAACAAAAATCTTGTACTATTCAGAATTGAATTCACAGAAATTAAGTTATATATAATAATATCTTTTTGCTACAAACTATAGAACTACGACAAAATATGATGTTCCACAAATGTCGACTAAATTTTTATCGAGAATAGCTATTATCGTCAGTGACAGATATAGAAAATCGATTCGACCCAGAAATAAAGAAAAGAGAAATGTCACAGAATAATTTTTAAGAAGCCTATTATTATTACATTTATTAGTTATAACTTTTTAACAATATCAATGGTAATAGAACCATATATAGCATCATTTCTTTAAATTATCACGTGTCGTGAAAAAATCCTTTTAAACCCGAACATAAATAAGGTAGATCCGCCCTAATAATCCACGAAGCGGATTATCCAGCCGTCGAGATGGATGTAATGGAAAAGGTCTTCGTTTACTCCATGGTGTCATGAAGAAGAGTTGAGGGAGGGAGATAGTAGAGAGATTCGCGATTTTAAATCCCCCTCTCTTCTCGGCGCACGTTCCGCAATTCCGGAGCACCGATTCCATCCATGAAGATCTCATCGTAGTTTTCTCCGCCTCTCATTTAATCTCTCTCTCTCGCTCGACTCCGAGTGAAATCCATAAAATGTAGCGCCTCTTAAACTCTCTCGAGAGCTCTTCCGGTCCGTTGTTCTATTCTTCTGCTACTCAACGCGGTTCGATTACGAGAGACAGTCGCTTAGACAGCTCTCCAATTCTTGCGGGCTAATTTGAACAACGAAGTAAACGAGAGCCAATCGGAAATTCTAGATGAGGATAGAGGGTAGAGAATGATACTCTAGAATTAAATTTCTGGAAATCCATTTAGCGTTGTGAAATAATTGCAAAGTATAAAACAAATAATTCACGTATACAGCGAATATATTTTTAAATGTGTTAAAAGATATATTTTTATTTATTTATTTTTGCTTGTATCGTCGCTTAAATATTATTCTAATTTTTTATAAATGCAATATCAATATGCTAGAAAGGAATGCACGCAACTGACCATATCCGCATTAAACTGCATTTAATCTTCTTGGAAAATTCTTGCGTTATACGTGTCAAGTATCTTGCACCGGTATTTAAAGATATAAAAATTTTAAAGACAGAAATTTAATTAAGAAGTTAATGACAAGTAGACATTTAAAAAACGAGAAACGCCGATAATAAGATTTGTTTTCATCATAAATATTAATATCATATTATTATAGATTAAATACATAGATGTATTTGCAACTCATAGCTTGTATTCAATCATTTACGTGTATATTGTGTGATTAATTTCTTTTTAAAATATTCAAAGTATTTGATTGTAGCGTACAAAAATTCATATTGATACCATCTTCTAACATAAACACGTACTTAAATTATACCAACGCTAGATATTTCGGTTTTCTGTCATGTCGGTGAAAGAATCGCTGATCCTTGCGTTAAGCATTCACCTTCACTTGAGGAATCATATCTCGAAATTCACCCGATAATCGACCGGCCGAGTAAGCCAAACTCAGCTTTGTGCTCCGCGTGCGCAGCAGGAGCATGTCGGTGGCTGATCCTTGCGTTAAGCATTCACCTTCACTTGAGGAATCATATCTCGAAATTCACCCGATAATCGACCGGCCGAGTAACCGAGTAAGACAATAGTACGAGTACACCGTGCGCTTCTTAACGTCAGTCTCGTCGTGGTGCTCCATCTTCGCACGTCTTGTAACGTCACGTCGAAAGGTCCGAAAGGTCGGAGCAGACAATCTGCGCGGGTCGATTGTCAAATCGCGTAAGGATTACGATCGTTCCGATTACGCGCGTTCCCTGTAAAACGGGACAATCTCACTCGCGTCGAGGTACTCGTGGTGAACGCGTTTAAAGGCCGCGCGAAAGCTGCAACTCTTCTTCGGCACTCGGATCCCGCAGCGGAACTCGCGTAGAAAGAGGTGAGTCCCAGTGAGAACCTTCCCTCTTCACGCGCCTACATCCTGGCTCTTTGTCTCCCTCTTCATCTGCCATCCCCTTCGGAAAAATCTCCATCACTTCGACCTATCGATCAGAGCTACGTCCGTGATAATTTGTCTGTGAGCGCACGCGGAATCGCGTTGATAATCACGCGTCTTATCACGCACATCGATGTCCCGCGCTCGCACGCGGACCTCATCGTCATCGTCGTCCGTTGACAGAAGCTAAGAACGTCGATCGGTGACGTCGTGATAACTCGATTGAGTCATGCGGCGCTGCAACCACGAAGGTCGAACCTGGCGCGCTAAATCGATCGCGCGTGAACGACGACGCGCAAACGATCTCGCGTTAACGTCGCCTCCTAGGCGGATTGGTCCCATCGGGGCGCGAAGCGGTCGCGACTGTCGGGAAATGGGGTTACACTGGGACGATCGATCGTTCCTAGAAAAACTAGACGTCGCGGAATAATACATGGTCGATGCCAGTCCTCGATCAAGCATAATTAGCTGGCGCGCTGTTACGTACCGCGATATAGAGGGATTAACCCTCTTTCTGTCTTTTATCAGTTCTCCTTATACTTTCCGAAATTTAAGTATTGGATGCTATTTTATATAGCCTAGAAAAAGAAATTATCTGAGTGATGCATGTGAATAAGATCACTTCCTGTTCCTAAACTTTCTGGGAACTCGGTATCTATAGATCATATTTACGTAACGACTTTCATGAACCAGTCGTTGTTGGTAAATTTGAAGTTTAGTAACTACACAATATTAATTGATAACTTCTTAATATTTTCAAATGCTTAACATGTTTTATAATATTCCTAAAATTTTAAGTTGAATATAAAAAAAAAAAAAAAATAAATTGCTTCATTAAAAGCCATAATTCTTTCTTAATTTTCTCAAAAGAATTTTTACATCTCTTCTTAAAAGAGAGAAGTAAACAAAAACCTCTTACACATCTTAGTTCCTATCAGCGTCCAACAATTATTTGATCGCAGACGTAACAGCTTGCAGCTGCTTCGATGACGCTCGAAGCGTACTGGATCGATGCTACGTGTGAATTGTAGGATGGAAAAAAGTTGCTGGATACAAAAATAAACTGTCAGACGCATTAAGATTTCTCATCTTATTGGCAATCTAGTCTTTACTTTCAAAGCTACATGTTAAATTCAGCTTTGACCGTTATGCGCCTGTATATTAACTTTGATGGAAAATATTACATGCTAAAGTGGAGCATAAAGTGTAGAAATTTTTCTCTTTAAGAACGCATGCACGTTATAAAGCTTTATCTTACCGTTTCAAACCACATTAAAGCAAATTAATGAAGCAGAACAGATCAACGATTCAATGATTTTCAGTTACCATTTTATAAATGTACGCTTTCATACACACACAGAACAAAATTGAATTAACAAGTCTAACGTGATAATCTCTGAAAGATCGGATAATTGAAAATTTCATATCTAAAGATATACTTCTTTTTATATAATTACTATAACAAATATCTGTGAAATTGATTTGACAAATTAAATAGTATCAGAAAAATTTATTAGATAAAATTTTTAATTGTTACACACATACATTTTGTAACAGTTATATATATAAAACACTCTTTAATTTTATTTGATACTTCTAAATTTTTATATAACATTTTTTTCTGAATTTTATATCTGATATTAATGACATGTTGCAAACGATCGATCGTGCATAATCGTCGTGATACTCTGAATTTTTAATCGCTTGAATCAGTTGTGGATCAATAATAGAGATATTGAAAAGAAATATTGGAGATAATGAATAAATATTTTGTATTGTTTATTATATTATCGATGCTAACATTTTCTTAATGAAATAAATTGATTGGACGATTCGAGTCGATGTGAAGTCGGGCAGTGTCGGACGAAAAATTAGATGTCGAGAAACGGGGTTAACCCCGACGTTACACGCGAGTATCTATGCGAAAAATCAATACACGACTCTCCTGGGACCCGCTTTACAACACGCGCGCGGAAGTCCATCAGTGAATTGGTGATCATTGCGTGAACCCCAACAGTGACATGCATACATATTTTGCCCGGAAAGGTCCTGGCCAGATCGATTTCCCGTTTGCTGGCGCGAGGCCGTAAGCAAGTCGAGCTCGCAGCTGATCCAGTTGCATTCGGCGCCATCGATATTTGAAGAGCTTGACTTTAGAATGATACGCTGCTTGACTTAAAATGAGATAAATTGAAATAGAAGGTACTCCCCCAAGAGCGTGTCTATATCATATTTCTTTCATATTTCTCGCGGATGATTTTATCTTATAAAAATATTGACGACTTGTTCATTTTGTATATTGTATATTATCCAAATTTTCAAAAGTTTCTATAGATCCCGTTCTATTTAACATACAATTATCAAAGAATTTTTTAAAGTAACAAAATTTGCGGTATTTTTGATCGTAAAATGATTGTTTAGGTATGAAAATTCTTTGCAGTGTTTTGCTTTAATGCTAATCACGCAATAATCATTCATGGCGCTCAGTAATAATGATGATAACGATAATCT